CCCGGCACAAGGCTAGTGCTGGCCCCATGCCGTGGGCGCCATGGCCTGCTGCACAGGCGGGCTCACCGTTTCCAGTGGCCCCGGGAGGGCCTGGGTGCTCCTCTGCCTCTCCTAGAGCATCTCGAGGAGTTAGACCTTGTTTTTTCCCCAACTGCTCCCTGGCCTTCTAGCCTGTCTGCCAACCTGGTCCTGGTGACCAGTCAGCTCCCTGGAGAGACCCCATGGGAGCCTACATGGAGTCTGTAACACTGGCAGCCCCCCAGGGCTCCGGCTAACCTTCCCTGTCTCTCTCCCCCTTTTTCACCAGGACTCCGTCTACATCTTCCGGGAAGGGGCCCTGCCACCCTATCGGCAGATGTTCTACCAGTTGTGCGACTTGAATGTGGAAGAGTACGTATGAGAGGGGCCCTGAGACACTGAGGGGAACCCGTGGGACCCAGGGACCAAAGTGCTCTCTGCAGCTCTTCCACTTCACGTCGGCCGTCACCTCCTGCAAGAACACTCGCCTGTCTGGGAGTTTGGTGCTGCCGAGAGCCCTGGCGTGCTGGCGGTCCTCGCAGAGGCAGTGCCCTGTAGAAAACCGCGGCTCCAAACTGGGCAGAGACAGTTCTTGCTGTTATGTCCTTGCCCCTCTTCCACTGTCCACATGAAGGCCCCATGAGTGGTTCTCAATCCCAGGACCCATCAGACCCCAGAAACCTTTTATCGACTTGTTCTCAGTGATGTTTAAAGAATTGCAGGGGGCCGGGCGCGGTGGCTCACGCCTGGAATCCCAGCACTTTGGGAGGCCGAGGCGGGCAGATCACGAGGTCAGGAGATTGAGACCACCCTGGCTAACACGGTGAAACCCCGTCTCTACTAAAAATACAAAAAATTTAGCCAGGTGTGGTGGCGGGCGCCTGTAGTCCCAGCTATGTGGGAGGCTGAGGCAGGAGAATGGCGTGAACCCGGGAGGCGGAGCTTGCAGTGAGCCGAGATGGCACCACTGCACTCCAGCCTGGGTGACAGAGCGAGACTCCGTCTCAAAAAAAAAAAAAAGAAAAGAATTGCAGGGAAAGGGCACTGGGATGGGAGGAGATGGAGATGGGAACACGTCAAATACATCTTGAAATCTGTTGAAAGCCATGGTTCACCAGAAGCATGTGCAGGGGTACACGGCCAGCTTCACGTGTGTGAGGGGTCCAGGGAGCACACAGGTTTAGGGCCCCAGCTGGGAGCACACAGCTCGTGTTTCCAGTTCCTCTCTGTAGACTTCACTCACGGGGCTGCCTTTCTCAGTACAGCTCTGCCTCCGGCAAAAGCCAACACCAGCATCTCTTAGCAGAGACCCACCCTGGGACTTTATGTCCCAACCCTCTCCCCACCCCCAGGTTGCAGAAGATCATTCACCGCAATGACGGGGCTGAGAATTCCTGCACGGAACGGGATGGGTGGTGCCTCCCCAAGACCAGCGACGAGCTCAGGGACACCATGTCCCTCATGATCCGGCAGACCATCCGCTCCAAGAGGCCTGGTGAGAGCCGCTTGGGGTAAAGGGGGCCCAGGATGCCTGGGGATCCCCTTGGAGACAGAGGTCTCCCTAAGGGGACCCATTCCTGGGAAATGGCACCTAGGTGGCATCATCTTGCCCCTGGCCCTGGTGGGAGGGGGGCATTGTGAGCCAGAGCCCAGCCCAGGAGCCGGCATCACCCCAGCTGCCCACAGAGGCTTCCTGAGCCGAGGCCCTCGGCGCTGGGGTCTGGGGCAGGAGTCAAGCCCAGGGGGGTCGGGTGCAGCAGCCCGGCGCTGCCAGGGGCCTCCACCTGACGCCCTCACACCAGCCCACGTCTTTCAGCCCTGCGAGTGCAGGCTCTGCCTCTGTCTTCTTCCTGTTCTACGGGGCCCAGCCCCTTCCTGGAACCAGGCAACCCTGGCAGGAGCGAGGGCCAGCTGCAGGGGAAGTGAAGGGGGCAGCACCTGCCAGGCAGTGGATCTGACAAGGCTGGGGAGAGTCATAAGAGGCCTTCTCTCTCAGGGGGCTCCTCCCAGGCTGGAGGAGGGGCATCCTGGACCCAGCCATGCCACACAGATCTGACCGAAGCAGGGGTTCTTAGTCTTGCTTGGAATCCAGAGTCAGCCCCCTTTGGGAATCTAATCAAGAGTGTGGACCCTTTCCCGGAGAAAATGGCGTATTCACTCTTGAGGGTCCCTGGGCCCTTGAAGCTGCTCGTGGCTCCCCTGCTGCAGTATTCCCCTGGGTGCCCGTTAAACTACACCTTCCCGAGGGGTCTCCACCCCATACTTACCCACCAGCTTCTTCAGAGCTCAAGCTCGGACCCTTATAGTAGTAAACAGGCTCCCCAGAGCCTGGTGGCCTTTCTGGGGCCACCCAGCAGCCTGCATGGGACACCCATGGCCTCGTCTCCTCCGGCCCCAGCTCTCTTTTCCAGCTCAGCCAAGGCTGACGGCGGGAAAGGGCAGCTGACGTACGAGTCTGGGGAAGACGAAGAGGAGGATGAGGAGGAGGAAGAGGAGGAGGAGGACTTCAAGCCATCCGACGGCAGTGAGAACGAGATGGAGACAGAGATTCTGGACTACGTGTGACAGGGCCCAAGGCTGGGCCTTCCTGACCCGGCCAGACTGGTGTCCGGTCTAATGAGGGAGCCAGGGCTCCCCATTGCCACCCCCAGTGCCCGGAATGGCCCTAGGAGGCCCTCTGAGGAGAGCTGGAGTCCCAGCAGAGGGTGCAGCTGACCCAAGCACTGGCTATGACGTGCTGCTTGGTGCTGCCTCTTGTCCTGAGGGCTTAGGGACATCCCCAAAGGGTATGCCCTGGCTCCACCACCCATGAACCAGCCCAGCATCCAGCCAGTGAGTGGGCACCCAATGCTTCTCAGGATGAGACCAGTAAATGCCGGAGGTGGAGCTGGGCAGCTGCGGGGCCCCAGGCCACAGGCCAGTCTCACTTGGCTCTCATGACTATGGCGGTGGAGATAGTGTGGGGAGCCTGGCCCATGGTCTCAGGTGGCAAGAAGTGCCCTTGGCTCTGGATCCCAACCGTTTGACACAACTTTGCTCACAGCCAGGCCCCTCTGGAATTGTCCTTATTAAACCAGTTTCCCGAGAAGTCTTGGTTTCTCAGTGTGAATGTTGGAGCAGCAGGGGAGTCTCTTGCTGCCTTGGGGCTTGGGCTCCCTTTGTCCCTTCCTTTATTCCTTCATTCAGTGACCTCATGCTGGCAGTGCTGGCCTGTGCCCCTCACATGTGGTCGGGTTGGGTGAGGGCAGCTGGGAGGACTCCAGGCCTGGGCTCAGTTCTTCTCTAAATGAATACCCTCTTGACAAAATCATGGGAAATGGGCCCTGCTGTCCCATGGCTTCCCAGTGTGAAACTAGTGGGTCCTGAGCCCACCGAGCCTGCCTGCCTGACCCTGCTCCCCATATTGCCCTTGGCTGAGGCACTTGTGTCTCCCCGAGTGCAGCAGCAGCACTCCCTCCCAACCTGTGTGCGTGCCGAGTATTTGTTGAAGAAACAAGGTCATTTGTCCTAGAGAACGGCCCCGTTCTGGATCAACTGGTTGCCTCTCTGTAGTGCTGAACCTGCTTCTCTCCCCTGTATTTCCTGGGGACTGGTGGAGGCTCAGCCCGATTCAGGTTCAAGGTCTCTTCCTCGGCTGCGTCGGTCTGCAAGCACAGGATGTCTGCTGGGCCCCTTTGTTGACACTAGGATTGACCAGCAAGTTTAGGTGTTGTCAGGCTGACGCATTGGTCTTTTATCTAATGGTTTTTGCGTTTCTGTGGTTTTTTTGTTTTATTTCTGGGTCTTTTTTTTTTTTTTTTTTTTGAGATGGTCTTGCTCTGTCTCCCAGGTTGGAATGCAGTGATGCAGTCAGGGCTCACTGCAGCCTCAACCTCCTGGGCTCAGGTGATCCTTCCACCTCAGCCTCCCGAGTAGCTGGAACTACAGGTTGTGTACCACCATGTCCAGATAGTTTTTGAATTTTTTGTAGTGATGAGGTCTCACTAATGTTGTCCAGGCTGGTCTAAAACTCCTGGGCCCAAGGCATCCCCCCGCCTCAGCCTTCCAAAGTGCTGGGATTACAGGTGTGAGCCACCTCCTCCAGCGTATTTAATTGCTTTTGAACAGCCGTTGATCATTGCCTGTACTGCTTCCTTAAGGGTGCAAAATGGTGATTTTTTGAACTATATTGTTCCCCCTGTATTTAGTAGCTGGAATTCTATAAAGGAATCTTCCTCATTGTCTATTTGATTACCCTGAAATACTACTCGGACAGAAAAGGAGGGAAAATGCCTGTGTTCACCTCTAACAGTCTTCAGAACAATGAGTTAGTGCCCTGGCGAGGGCCAGTGACAGGGCAGGAGGGCCGGAGACTGTTTCCTGGGCTGCCTGGTGAACTCAGATCTGTCAATTGCAGGCTTGCTTTTTCATGCCCAGCTTGTCTGTCTTTGCCCGGAGGCGGCCTCAGATTGGCTTCTGTAGTCTTTTGACACAACCCTTGGGTCTTGGGCACCTTCCTTACTTGTAGCCACCATGATGTTGCAGACTCCAACCCCTCCCTGGCATTTCCAGCTGCGGATCTGCCCAACCATCCCCCCGGGGCGCACTCCTTCCTCGGTGTGACTATGATGTTTAGAGACCCCAATGTGGTCACCAGGGGTGGTGCTTGCTCCTGGGATTTCTTTACTCCTAGGACTTTGGAAGAGAGAGCCAGGAAATAAGTTTTGTTTTGTTTTGTTTTTTGCCAATTTAAAAAATAATAAAGTATGAGACTAGGCACGGTGGCTCATGACTGTAATCCCAGCACTTTGGGAGGCTGAGGCAGGCAGATCACTTGAGCTCGGGAGTTCAAGACCAGCCTGGACAACATGGCGAAACCCTGTCTCTACTAAAAATACAAAAATTGGCCAGGTGTGATGGCACGCGCCTGTAATCCCAGCTACTTGACAGTCTAAAGCAGGAGGATCCCTTGAGCCCAGGAGTTCAAGAATGCAGTCAGCTGTGATTGTGCCACTGCACTGCCTGGTGACAGAGTGAGGCCCTGTCTCAAAAAGAAAAAAAAAAAAACCCAAAATCTGTGGACTCGGGTGATAATGACATGTCAGTGTGGGTTCATCAAGCGAAACAGCTGTACCCTCTTATGGGGGATGTTGATAATGGGGGAGACTGGGGTGGGGCGAGGATATATGTGAAGTTTCTGTAACCTTCCTCTAATTTTGCTGTGAACCTAAAGCCGCTCTAAAAATGTATGTATATAAAAAGTGGGGCCTTCCTTTCCCTCTCCCCTGCCCCTGCCCTCTCCCCCACCTCCTTCCTCTCCCTGCTGCCCTCCCCTTTCCTCCTTAGCCTCTGTAAGTAACACTGCAGTGAATATCCTGGAGCACAAAGGGCCTGTCTCCCAGTTCAGAATTACCTCCTTTATTTAGAGCAGGTTCTCAGAACTAGAGTAACGGGGCAAAGGCCTGAGGCAAATGCATTTGTTCTGGGGTGCCCCAGCCGCCTGCAGGCCCCTTATTCTCTGTGGCCTGCATTTGTTCTGGGGCACCCCAGCTGCCTGCAGGCCCCTTATTCTCTGTGGCGTGTTGCATTTGTTCTGGGGTGCCCCAGCCGCCTGCAGGCCCCTTATTCTCTGTGGCCTGCATTTGTTCTGGGGTGCCCCAGCTGCCTGCAGGCCCCTTATTCTCTGTGGCCGACTCCTCCTCCCACCCTCCTGGCCTTTCCCCAGCCTCCCTCGCCCACTAGGCCTCCTGAATTGCTGGGTACCGGCTGTGGTTGACAGACAGAGGGACAGACGTGGCTCTGCAGGTCCACTCGGTCCCTGGCACCAGCCGCAGGGATGGCAGAGCAGGGGTGTGGTTGGTGTGGGAAGCACAGGCTCCAAGTCTCCTGGGGGGCTGTTGGCTGGGCAGGCTCTGGCTGCCCCCACCCTGTCCCCATCACCGCAGAGTGCCGTGCGGTGACTGGAGCTGCCACTGAGTGTCTCGGTGAGGGTGACCTCACACTGGCTGAGCTTAAAGGCCCGAGCAGAAGACTTTGTTCATGGTGTTCTTTCACTTCTCATAGCCTTTCCTGGCACTGGGAGTAACAGGTGTTCACAGAAAATGCGAATGGCCTCCTCCTCCACGACCTCACACGACCTTATCCCTTCCCTCCTGCTGGCCTCTTTCCCTCCCCTTCTGTCACTCTGCCTGGGTGTGCCCGGGGGCCTTGACTGGGCCCTTTCTTTCCTCAGGGAAGCCCTCAAGGTTGGGCTAGATGCCCCCCTAACCCTCCCACCCACACCATGTTCCCCTGAGCCTCTAGTCCTCCCTCCCAGGACACATCAGGCTGGATGGTAACATCTCCCCACCCTTGAGTGGGACTGCCTTGTGCTGCTCTGCGACCCACACCCAGCTTGGACTGCCCGCTCCACAGGCCCCAGGAAAAGCTGGTACAGATAAGGTCAGTCCCATGAGTTGGGGGCCCACAGTATGCCGCCCTCTCTGTCCTAGAATTCACGTGCTCGGTCCCCTGTGAAGCTCCTTTGGGGACCTAGGGGACAGGCAGTGCACAGAGACAAAGTATGCCCTTTTCTCTGACAGTGACACCAAGCCCTGTGAACAAACCAGAAGGCAGAGCGCTGTGCACCCTGCCCGGCCCCACCACCCCCCTTGCCACCTGCTTCTGCTCCCAGGTAAGCAGTAACCTGCACAGGTGCACCGTGGGTTTTGGGAAAACTGGATCTCCCTGCACCAGAAGGGGTGGAGGGGAGGGGGTGTCTGTGACCTCATGAACAGGCATGTGACCTTGGCTCTGGCTCCATAAATACCCGAGGCCCAGCGGGAGGGCCACCCAGAGGCTGACGCACACCATGGGGCGCCTGCAACTGGTTGTCTTGGGCCTCGCCTGCTGCTGGGCAGTGGCCAGTGCCGCGAAGGTAAGAGCTCAGCAGAGGGGCAGGTCCTGCTCTCCTCCCCTCACTCACATCTGGAAACTGGGCCAGGCTGAGAAAGAGAGCCCAGCACATTCCCAGGGCAGTTCCCGGGCGCTCACCCTCATTTCTGCAGGGACAGGGGCCAGGTAAAATGCAGGACGCCCAGTTCCATTTGAATTTCCGATAAACTGCCAAGAACTGCCGTGTAAGTATGTCGCGTGCAATATTTGAAACACACATGGGCCGGGCGCAGTGGCTCACGCCTGTAATCCCAGCACTTTGGGAGGCCCAGGTGGGTGGATCACTTGAGGTCGGGAGTTGGAGACCAGCCTGGCCAACATGGTGAAACCACATCTCTACTAAAAATACAAATGTTAGTTGCGCATGGTGGTGGGTGCCTGTAATGCCAGCTACTTGGGAGGCTGAGGCAAGAGAATTGCTTCAAGCTGGGAGGTGGAGGTTGCAGTGAGCTGAGATCACGCCACTGCACTCCAGCCTGGGTGACAGAGCGAGACTCTGTCTCAAAGGTATAAAAGAAAAAGAAAAAAATGAAACATACTAAAAAAACAATTCGCTGTTTACCTGAAATGCAAATGTCATTGGGCCTCTTGAATTTGCATTTGCTCAGCCTGGTGATCCCACCTACCAAGCTCTCTGATGGACACTGTTGCCGTTTTACAGAAGGGGAAGCAGGCCAGGGGCAGGGAGTGTGGAGAGCAGGCAGACGGGGCGGAGAGAGGCAGGCAGGCAGCCCAGCATCGCACAGCTGCTACCTCCTACTCCTGAGCAGGAACCTGAGAGCTGGGCTATTCCACACCGGGTCCGGGTCCCTTCAGAGGGAGAGCCGGCAGGCAGGAGGTCTCTCGAGCATCCATAAAATCCGCCCTCTCTGCCTGTGAGGGGGAAGCCACAGAAGCCCCAAGCCCCGCAGGAAGCCGGTGTCAGTGCCCGGCCCAGTCCCTGCCCCCAGCAGGACTCACACAGGGGACCCCAGATGCCGACCACGCTGTTCTCGTGTCTGCTCTCTCAGGCCCTGGGGTCTCCTCTCTCCACCTCCACTGCCTGCTCTCCACACTCTCTGGCCCTGGGACCTGGAGGTTTGGGCAGTGGTCCTGGGCTCCTGACTCAAAGGAGAGGTCATCCTCTTCTTGGGCGAGCTCTTCTTGGGGTGCTGAGGCCTTTGGCAGGTCATCATGACCCCTCCCCATTCCCCCGCCCCGAGGCCCTCAGGCCAGTCTCAGTTGCACAGGGACACTTCTGCCAGGTGACTTCTCTACACCGCCTCCCAGAGGTGGGGCGGGGCTGGGGGGAGCTGGCACGAGGAGACACGGATGCCTCGCAGGGGTTGCCCATGATGTCTGCAAGTGTTGCTTCTGGCTCCTTCCCTCCCGTTCCAACCGCCCCACTCTCCCACCCTAGTGTGGCAGGGGCCCATCAGCCTAGACTTCAGAGGCTGGGCCTGAGGGTACGGGGCCACCCTGCCCTTCCCTACCTGGAACCTGGCACAGGTGAGAGCCAGCAAGCAACCACCGGCTGCCACCACGCACCACGTGCAGGAGGAGCTGCTGCCCAAGATGGAAAGGAGGTGGCTCTGGGGCAGACAGTTGCCTCTCAACAGGGTGACTTCAAGCCCAAAAGCTACCTAGCCTCAGTTCCCTCAGGGACAGAGGGTGGATGAGCACCAACCTCCAGGCCCCTTGTGGGGATGGACAGCTTGGTGCACAGAGGCAGTTCTCATGGCACAGGGAAGCGTGGTGGAGGTCGGGGGGATCCCTGGGGGAGGGGGGGAGTTCTTTACCAGCAGGGGGCACAGGAGCTGTTAGGACTTGGGTATGGGGACATCGACTTTGTGCCCAGCCAGCTAGGCCCTGTGCAGGGAGACAGGAGGAGGGAAATGCAGACCCCACCCCTCAGGAAGGAGGAAGGTTGGTGTGAAACATCCCGGGTACACTGAGCATTGGGTACGCTCCTGCCTGAGCTCCTGCCTGTTGCTCATCCTCCACATGGGCATGGGGAAACAGGATCGGAGTCAAAGCTGGGCGGCCACAGCCTGAACCCAAACCTCCATCCCACCTCTTGGCAGGCTTCCCTAGTGGGAGCACTGGTCGAACCAGTTTCCTCTACGATTCTGGGAGCAGGACACCCCCAGGGATAAGGAGGGGAAGAGGAATCCTCAAGCCCTGAGCAGTGTGGGGCAGAGGGTGCTGTCTGGGTCTCCTGGGCAGAGCTGTCCTGCTTCGAAGCTGTCTTTGCCTCTGGGCACCCAGTGTTGCCTTGCCCGCTCTGGATTCAGGCCGATGGGGCCTGAGTCTGCCTGACCCTGCCCGTGTCTCCCTCCCAGCTGGGCCCCGTGTACACGGAAGGTGGGTTCGTGGAAGGCGTCAATAAGAAGCTCGGCCTCCTGGGTGACTCTGTGGACATCTTCAAGGGCATCCCCTTCGCGGCTCCCACCAAGGCGCTGGAGAACCCCCAGCCACACCCCGGCTGGCAAGGTAGGAGTGGGTGGTGCTGGACTGGCCCTGCGGTGGGGCTGGTGAGGGCGACTGCCTTCCTCATGCCAACTCCTCCTGCCACCCGCAGGGACCCTGAAGGCCAAGTCCTTCAAGAAGAGATGCCTGCAGGCCACCATCACCCAGGACAGCACCTACGGGGATGAAGACTGCCTGTACCTCAACATCTGGGTGCCCCAGGACAGGAAGCAAGGTCTGCCTGCCCCCTGCTCCCCAAGGGAAGTTCCCACGCAGCCAGAGCCCCGGATCTGCTCCTGGCTTGAGTCTGGGGCTGCAAAGCTGAACTGCCATGCAATCCCGCAGAGGGGAGAGGGGAGCGTCCGTGCCAGTCCCCCAGCCTGGGGCAGGGTCGTGCCTTTAAGTGCCTCCCTGTCTCGGCCCCAGGCACCTGCTGCACAGGGACGGGGGACCAGCTTGGGAGAGGGCCAGGCGGGGCATCTGGGGTCACCGGCCGCTCCCCCATCTCAGTCTCCCGGGACCTGCCCGTTATGATCTGGATCTATGGAGGTGCCTTCCTCATGGGGTCCGGCCACGGGGCCAACTTCCTCAGCAACTACTTGTATGACGGCGAGGAGATTGCCACACGCGGAAACGTCATCGTGGTCACCTTCAACTACCGTGTCGGCCCCCTTGGGTTCCTCAGCACTGGGGACGCCAACCTGCCAGGTGTGTGGGCCTCTTCGGCCCTGAGGTGGGGCGGCCAGCTTGCTGAGTCCAGCAGGGAGATTCTCCTCAGTGCCCCTCACCCCAGACAACCAGTAGCCGTCCACAGAAAGACCTAGAAGCTGGAGTAGAATCACGAGAAGCAGGAGGCCCTTGGCAGCCATAGCAAAATTAAAGATGCTGCGGAGGCCAGGTGAGGTGGCTCACGCCTGTAATCCCAACACTTTAGGAGGCTGACACAGGTGGATCACTTGAGCACAGAAGTTCAGGACCAGCCTGGTAATCACAGGGAGACCCCCCATCTCGACAAAAAAATAAAAAATTAGCTGGGGACCAGGCGCAGTGGCTCAACCCTCTAATCTCAGCATGTTGGGAGCCCAAGGCGGGCGGATCACATGAGGTAGGGCGTTCGAGACCAGCCTGACTAACATGGAGAAACCTCTTCTCTACTAAAAATACAGAATTATCCGGGTGTGGTGGCACTTGCCTGTAATCCCAGCTACTCGGGAGGCTGAGACAGGAGAATAGCTTGAACTCAGGAGGTAGAGGTTGCAGTGATCCGAGATCGCGCCATTGCACTCCAGCCTGGGTAACAAGAGCAAAACCCCATCTCAAAAAAAAAAAAAAAAAAAAACAACAAATTAGCCGGGCATGGTAGCTCATGCCTCTGGTCTCAGCTACCTGGGAGGCAGAGGCGGAAGGATCGCTTGAGCCCAGGGATTGCAGGCTGCAGTGAACCGTGGTCGTGCCACTGTGCTCCAGCCTGGGCGACAGAATGAGGCCCCATCTCAAACATAAAAGAGGCTCTGGGACAGACAGGCAAACAGGCTGAAGCTGAGAGAGAAACCCGTAGAGCAGGGCCGAGTGAGAGAAAACGATACCTTGAGGCAGAGACAGCTGTGGACGCAGAAGTGGCAGGACACAGACAAGAGGGACTGGGGCACGGGCAGGAGAGGTGCATGGGCCTGACCATCCTGTCCCCACAAACACTACCCCCTCTAGCACCCCACTGACCCAACCTCCTGGGGACCCACCCCCTCCAGCACCCCACCCGACCCAGCTTCTCAGGTACCCACCATTTGCCAACCGCAGCTCTGCCATGGCCCCAAGTCTGTTGAGGGCATTTCTGCCCCACCCACACTGGTCTCCCCTCCTGGAGGCCAGGTCTGGGCCACTGATCTCTAGCACCCTCTCCCCTGCCCTGCCCACAGGTAACTATGGCCTTCGGGATCAGCACATGGCCATTGCTTGGGTGAAGAGGAATATCGCGGCCTTCGGGGGGGACCCCAACAACATCACACTCTTTGGGGAGTCTGCTGGAGGTGCCAGCGTCTCTCTGCAGGTCTGGGGATCCCCGTGGGGAGGGCCTGCCCCACAGGTTGGGAGGAAGCTCAAACGGGAAGGGGAGGTGGGAGGAGGAGCATGGAGCTGGGGCTGTGGTGCTGGGTTGTCCTCGGCCCAGCCTGGGGTGGGTGGAGTGGGGAGCGGCCTTGGTGACAGGATCTCTGGCTGTCGTAGACCCTCTCCCCCTACAACAAGGGCCTCATCCGGCGAGCCATCAGCCAGAGCGGCGTGGCCCTGAGTCCCTGGGTCATCCAGAAAAACCCACTCTTCTGGGCCAAAAAGGTAAACGGAGGAGGGCAGGGCTGGGCAGCGTGGGGGCAGAATTGATACCCGGGTGGGGGCCGTCCTCATTTCCATTCTTTGTCTTGGACCCTGTCCTTGCCTTCCAATGGTTCGGAGCCCTGAGCACTGTCCTCACCTACCTGCCGGCCTTGCTCCTGCCCTCAGGTGGCTGAGAAGGTGGGTTGCCCTGTGGACGATACCGCCAGGATGGCCAAGTGTCTGAAGGTTACTGACCCCCGAGCCCTGACGCTGGCCTATAAGATGCCGCTGGCAGGCATGGAGTGTGAGTAGCTGCTCGGGTTGGCGCATGGGGTCTCGAGGTGGGGGTTGTGGGGGTACTGCCAGGAAGTACTCTGGAGAAGAGAAGAAGGTGCCGGAGCTGTGGTCTGGTCCTGTTGCCATCAAACTGGTGACTCCCCTCAAAGGCCCCCGCTGTAAGGGAGAAGGGGAGCCATCTGGTTTTTTTTGGTTTTTTTTTTTTGGTTTTTTTTTGAGATGGAGTCTCACTGTTGCCCAGACTGAAGTGCAGTGTCAGGATCTCAGCTCACTGCAACCTCTGCCTCCTGGGTTCAAGTGATTCTCCTGACTCAGCCTCCCGTGTAGCTGGGACTACAGGCACATGCCACCATGCCCAGCTCTTTTTGTTGTATGTTTAGTAGGGATGGAGTTTCACCCTGTTAGCCAGGATGGTCTCGCTCTTGGGACCTCGTGATCCGCCCGCCTTGGCCTCCCAAAGTGCTGGGATTACAGGTGTGAGCCACCGTGCTCAGCAATTTTTGTATTTTTAGCAGAGACGGTTTCACCATGTTGGCCAGGCTGGTCTCGAACTCCTGACCTCAGGTGATCCGCCCGCCTCAGCCTCCCAAAGTGCTGAGATTACAGGTGTGAGCCACCGTGCTCAGCCCCTTCTTTCTTCTTATCTCCCATGAGTTACAGACTCCCCCTTTGAGAAGCTGATGAACATTTGGGGCCCCTCCCCCACCTCATGCGTTAGTATGCAGTCATTTGCATACAATTTCAGGGAGATCCATAGACCCCAGACCAAGAGCCTTTGTGCTAGATGACAGTTCGTTCATTCATTCATGCAGCAAACATTTACTGAACTGTAGCACTGGGGCCTCCAGCTCCACTATTCTGTACCCCGGGAAGGCCTGGAGACCCCTTGCACAAACACCTGTGCATGGCCGCCGCACCAGCTTGCTCGGCTAACGCTCTCCCTTGCACATTCTTCTATGGCAACGTGCCATGAAGCCAAGTCATCTGCATGTTTACCTGACATGAGCTCAACTGCACGGGCTGGACACGCCCAAACAAAGCAAGCCGCACAGGCCCGCTGGAAGCAAAGCCCACGGTGCTGAGCCCAGTGACAGCCGGGCCCCACCTGCCTCAGCAGCTGCAGGGTCTTCTAGGGGCCAGTCCGGGGGTCTGGAGGGCAATGCAGACCTCACACCATTTTTGGCTAATGGAGTGGAACCCAGCACTGAGAGAGGGAGCTCCTTCTCCATCAGTTCCCTCAGCGGCTTCTAAGTTTCCTCCTTCCTGATTCAGGCTCAGCAAAGAGAGAGAGGAGAGGGAGGGGCTGCCGCTGAAGAGGACAGATCTGGCCCTAGACAGTGGCTGTCAGCCTGGGGACGTGTGGCAGGGCCTGGAGACGTCTGTGATTGTCACGGCTGGGGAGGGGGGTGCTCCTGGCACCTTGTGGGTTGAGGCCGGGGATGCTCTAAACATCCTACAGGGCACAGGATGCCCCGATGGTGCAGAATCAACCCGGCCCCAAGTGACTATAGATCAGAGAAGGGAGGAAATAGCCAACTCCAGCCCTGAGAGGCAAGGGGTGGCTCAGGGGACACTGGAAGGTACAAGAACCTCCTGGCTCTCCCACCCAGACCCCATGCTGTACTATCTGGGCTTCATCCCTGTCATTGATGGAGACTTCATCCCCGATGACCCCATCAACCTGTACGCCAATGCCGCCGACATCGACTATATAGCAGGCACCAACAACATGGACGGCCACTTGTTCGCCAGCATCGACATGCCTGCCATCAACAAGAACAACAAGGAAGTCACGGAGTAAGCAGGGGGCACAGGACCCAGGGGCAACCCGTGCTGGAGGGCGGCCGGGAAGGCACTGGTGAGGGGGCCAGCCTGGAGGAGGAAGACACTGAGTGGAGGACTGGGAGTGAGGAAGTTAGCACCGGTCGGGGTGGGTACGCACAGGGGGAGTGTCAGTGCCTACTTGGTCCCCGCAGGGAGGACTTCTACAAGCTGGTCAGTGGGCTCACAATGACCAAGGGGCTCAGAGGTGCCAAGACTACCTTTGATGTCTACACTGAGTCCTGGGCCCAGGACCCATCCCAGGAGAACAAGAAGAAGACTGTGGTGGACATTGAGACCGATACCCTCTTCCTGGTGCCCACCGAGATTGCCCTGGCCCAGCACAGAGCCAACGCCAAGTGAGGATCTGGGCAGGGGGTGGCTCCTGGGGGCCTTCCTGGGGTGCTGCACCTGCCAGCCGAGGCCTCGCTGTGAGTGGCTCTCAGGTGTCTGGGTTGACTGGGAAAGTGGTGCTTGAGTCCCCACCTGTGCCTGCCTCATCCACTTTGCTGAGGCCTAGCAAGACTTGAGGGCCTCTTTTTCCCTCCCAGCCTATAGGGGTTTACGAACCCCACGATCCTCTGCCCTGCTCAGCCCTGCACCCCATGGTCCTTCCCACTGGAGAGTTCTTGAGCTACCTTCCATCCCCCACACTGTGTGCATTCAGACAACACTGGACAATGGTTTCTATCCACTGACTCTTATGGGCCTCAACTTTGCCAATTTACAAAACAGTTTTAGCCCACAGCCAGATTAAAAATCTTCATGTAATAATAGCCAATTATAATAAAAAATAAGGCCAGACACAGTAGCTCACGCCCGTAATCCCAGCACTTTGGGAGGTCAAGGCGGGAGGATCACTTGAGGTCAGGAGTTGGAGACCAGCATGGCCAACATGGCAAAACCCCATCTCTACTAAAAATACAAAAATCAGCCAGGCGTGGTGGTGCGCACCTATAATCCCAGCTACTCAGGAGGCTGAGGCAGGAGAATTGATTGACCCAGGGAGGTGGAGGTTGCAGTGAGCCAAGATTACGCCACTGCACTCCACCAGGGGCAACAGAGTGGGACTGTGTCTCCAATAAATGAGTAGATAAATAATAAAAATAAAAAATCAGTTAGGAATACGAAAAAGATAGGAAGATAAAAGGATACCGAGAAGTCTAGGATGAAAGCAACTAAGCAATACATTTAGCTGTGAGCCTCTTTTCACTGAAGGCAAAAAGGGAAACAGTTGAGGGCCTATACCTTGTCCAATCTAATTGAAGAATGCACATGCACTTGGAGAGCAAAATATTTCTTGATACTGACTTCTAGAAGGAAGGTGCCTCACAGTGTTTTGTGGAGGTGAAGTATAAATTCAACAGAAATGGCAGAACCCATGAATCCATGAATTTGGTTCTCAGCTTTCCCTCTCCTGGGTCTGAGAAGCTCTGTCTCTTCATGTGAATCCCTCAGACCCTTCCCTGCCCACTGCCCGGGACCTCCCTCCAGGGCCAGTCTGTGGGCTGGGCGGTCCCCGGTGAGCACCCTGCCTACTTGGGTGGTCTCTCCCCTCCAGGAGTGCCAAGACCTACAGCTACCTGTTTTCCCATCCCTCTCGGATGCCCACCTACCCCAAATGGATGGGGGCAGACCATGGAGATGACATCCAGTACATTTTCGGGAAGCCCTTCGCCACCCCCGACGGCTACCGGCCCCAAGACAGGACAGTCTCCAAGGCCATGATCGCCTACTGGACCAACTTTGCCAAAACAGGGTAAGGCGTGGGTTGAGAGCAGGGCGGAGGGCTGCAGCCGAGAAGGGCCTCCCACCACGAGGCCCTGTTCCCTCACTTGCCAGCGGAGGGACTTTGGGCAAGTCACTTATCCTCCCCTGCATCGGAATCCATGTGTGTTTACGAGGATAAGAGCTACTGGCAGAGCCCCAAGCCCGCGCACGTGCACAGCCTGTGTCCTGTATGCAGTGAGGGGCCACGGTGCCCAGGGACAGCTCAGAGGACGGGGATGGCTCAGGCGTGCGGGTGCAGAGCAGGCCTTCAGCCCCTTGGGAGTCCCCAGCCCCTGCACAGCCTCTTCTCACTCTGCAGGGACCCCAACATGGGTGACTTGGCTGTGCCCACACACTGGGAACCCTACACCTCGGAAAACGGCAGCTACCTGGAGATCACCAAGAAGATGGACGGCAGCTCCCTGAAGCGGGGCCTGAGAACCAACTTCCTGCACTACTGGACCGTCACCTATGTGGCGCTGCCCACGGTGACCGACCAGGAGGCCACCCCCGTGCCCCCCACAGGTGACTCCGAGGCCACTCCTGTGCCGCCCACAGGTGACTCCGAGGCCACCCCCGTGCCCCCCACAGGTGACTCCGAGGCCACTCCTGTCCCGCCCACAGGTGACTCCGAGGCCACCCCCGTGCCCCCCACAGGTGACTCCGAGGCCACCCCCGTGCCCCCCACAGGTGACTCCGAGGCCACTCCTGTGCCGCCCACAGGTGACTCCGAGGCCACCCCCGTACACCCAACTGGTGACTCTGAGGCCGCCCCTGTACCCCCCACAGATGACTCCAAGGGAGCTCAGATGCCTGTAGTCATTAGTTTCTAGCATCCCATGAGCCTTGGTCTTTAGAGGCCGCAAGGGTGGGACCCCAGGGGCTCCCCTCCCGTCTTTAGCTCTTCCTGAATAAAACCTCATTTCCCTGTCTGGCGTGTTTCTTTGCTCCCAAGGCTAAGCTGCGGGATCTGCCTGTCAATTGCAGCCTTGCTGTTTCATGCCCAGCTCGTCTGTCTTTGGCCAGAGGCGGCCTCAGGTTGGTCTCTGTAGTCCTTTGACACAACCCTTGGTTCTTGGGCACCTTCCTTACTTACAGCCACCACGATGCTGCAGACTCCAGCCCCTCCCTGGCATTTCCTGCCATGGACCCGGGCCAACCATTTCCCCAGGGTGCACTCCTTCGTCAGTGTGAACATGCTGTTTAGAGACCCCAATCTGGTCACCAGGGGTGGTGCTTGCTCCTGGGATTTCTTTACCGCTAGGGCTTTGGAAGAGACAGAGCCAGGAAATAAGTATTTTTTTTTAACCAATAAAAAAAAATAAAGTATGAGGCCGGGCACAGTGGCTCATGCCTGTATTCCTAGCACTTTGTGAGGCCGAGGCAGGAGGATCACTTGAGGTCAGGAGTTCGAAACTAGCCTGGCCAACATGGTGAAACTCCATCTCTACTAAAAGTACAAAAAATTAGCTAGGTGTGGTGGCGCGCACCTGAGGTCCCAGTTGAGGGAGAAGAATCGCTTGAGCTCGGGAGGCGGAGGTTGCAGTGAGCCGAGATCGCACCACTGCACTCCAGCCTGGGTGACACAGCGAGACACGATCTCTAATAATAATAATAATAATAATAATAAAAGTATGAATTCATGCAGGCATTTCCCAGTTGTAAGATTGTCAGGTTTTACTTCTCTGATTTTACAACTGTTTCTTTTTCTGCCTATGCTGGAAGTCTGGGTTCCTGACAGCGCCAGCATCGTTTGTGTTCTTTTTCCTGTAACATACATATGCTAATTTTGAAATATAAGATATTGCAGTAAATCATATAAGTTATATTTAAAGTGCATGAATTTAAATAAATTAAAAATTATATAAAGTAATATATGATAAAATATTAAGACTACTAAGGATCATTTAAGATCGATTTGCTCATTCTCCTTAAATCCTCCCACAGAATAAACAATTGTGCCTCCAGGTCCTCTGAGTAACACTATGGTTAGGCGATCATCTACCGATACACAGTTAGTTAGAACTTTGGGGTTTTTTTAATATGCAGATGTAGAAACTGACCTATGACTTTTTTTTTTTTTGAGACAGAGTTTCACTCTTATCACCCAGGCTGGGGTCCAGTGGCCTGATCTTAGCTCACTGCAACCTCTGCCTCCTGGGGTCAAGCGATTCTCCTGCCTCAGATTCCTAAGCTTTAACTAGCTGGACTACAGGCATGCACCACTACACTCGGCTAATGTCTTTGGACTTTTAGTAGAGACCAGGTTTCACCATTTTGGCCAGGCTGTCTTGAACTCTTGACCTCAGGTGATCTGCCCGCCTCAGCCTCCCAGT